CCGCCAGCGGGCCCGGCGGCGGCGGTCCCGCGGCCGGGGCCCCCCTACCGCCGGACTGCCCGGTCTACCACACAGCATAGTGAGCGAGCCCGACCCCGGCCGAGCCCGCCCGCCCCGAGCCCCGTTCGACCTTGAATAATATAATAACGACCCTCTGATAACGCGAACGAACCATTCAGCCTCCTCCCCCAACCACCCACCCACCCCCCCGGCCCCCAGTCACACATTTGACTTGAGCTGCTAAGCGACTACCACATCTCAGCACTACACCAGCCTTAATTTTCTCCTTTCGATGGCATCAGATCAGAGATTTTAATTCGGTTATTTTATCGACCACATCTGGTAAAACTACTAATTCTTCGATAGGTTACTTCCACAATTAATTATGGAAAAAAGTATGATAACGATGATGAAAAGTGAAATGAAATGAGTGCCCCATGAAATCTGTCCGCTCTGCTTCTTCCGAAAAACTCTATAGAGAAACTTTATAGGCAGTTTGTGCTTGAAAGAAAATGTGAGCGAAAGAGAGGATGCGGACGAGAGGGAGGCGCGAGCAAAAGTGTGAATGAAAGAAATGACGAATTCGATTGAATATACACGAGTTTGGTACACTGTGCGCTCTGTACACTAAATTTCATACAAACTTGCATCAATTGATATGTAGACATACACATCTAGCATCTTGAAGAAACATCTTGTGCGCAAATGACAAATTGTATACAATTGTATACAAATTGATGTAAATTCATATACAAATTGGCCTAAAATGTACATAATGAGCCAGATTGAGCAGTTGTTGATGGATACACGAGTCAGCACAAGTTGTCAAATTGCTTGGCGTAATATGCCGTTTGTATTGACTTATTATTTCATTGTTGATCAACTGGAGAAATCTTAATTCATTCAAAATGGACGTAGAATTAAATATTTATCTGATAATCTGTTGTCCAAAAATACATTTTTATCCAAAATTTTCTATTAAATATACGAATATCTAGATGATAGGCTCTTAAATAATAATCGATTATTTACTTTAGATTTCGTATGTCTCATTTTATATGAGTTAATATATGCGTCTTTTGAAATATTATATAACTAAAATTGAAAGGAAGATATATATGTTGGATATTTTTTATCAAAGCTCTTACATTTATATCCTTGCTTTATTTAGATGCAGTAATGAATTCAATCAAATTCGTTAAAAGGAAGTGAAAGAGAAAAAAAGGGTATGATAGAAGTAGAATGAGTGATAGAGAGGAAGGCGCGCGCGAGCGAGCGAGCGTGCGAGAGAGAGAGAAAGAGAGAGCGAGCGAGCGAGCGAGCGAGAGAGAGAGAGAGAGAGAGAGAGAGAGAGGAGGAGAGAGAGAGAGAGAGAGGGAGAGGGAGAGAGAGAGAGAGAGAGAGGTGAGCGCAAGAGAGAAAGAAAATGAAAGATGCACCGTATTTGGATACATGCGTGATTTTGCGTTCGCATTTTTCTGTTTGTAGAACCTCACGGATAGAATGCATTTTGATGTAATTTCGCGATTAGACCAAATACAGTTTGACAGAGTATGATGATGACATTTTAATGAGAACAGTGATCTTCCGGTTCCGACAATTTTGTACAACGTAGGTCTGTTCGGTTTAATCGTACTCTTTCTCGCACATTCACTTAGAAAAATTGTCTAAATTTTTTTATAATATAATGAAAGCGTTTCACGATAATTAAATTATTTGGGAGAATTATGATTAATTGAATAAAAGAAATATGTTATGATTTCGATAAGAATATATTTGGCGCAACAACAATGTAAATGTATTGGGTTGATTATGCGAAAGAAACTAAATCGTTCGCTTTTTTTTTTTGATTATATTATTTTTAATAAAACAATCTACGTCAAATAATATTGCGTATGTGACACTATACATATATGCTATTAAGTAGAAATCTGGTTTTTTTATGAAGAAAAAACGAACGAATTTTTTTATTGATCTAATACATTTGTTGATGAGAATAAAAATTTGTTAGAGAATCATCCATTAATAAAAATGAAAATTTATTGTTAGATGAATAAAATCAATCATTATTGCGTTGGCGAACGTGATAAAATTTTTGAACTGTTATTTATCATCTATTCCGTAATAACACTAATTGCTCTCATCAATCTATTAAAAATGCATAGAAGAGAATTGTAAATAGGTTTATCAAAAATTTATTTTTTTTTCTATTTTTAAAATTTTTATCTTATTTTTCTTATAAAAAATTAAATAAATTTAATTTTGTTTTATCTAATATAATACAATGATATTTGGCTTAACAATCAAATAGTGTGGAAGAAAGCGCGATTGAAACGAACAAACCTAAAGAATAGTTTATTACATGGATAATATCGAAAAGTTATGCTGTATTTTAATGAAGCTAATTTATATATTATATAATTATAAAATCATCACTTATACAACAAATACAACAATAGATATCGTGATATCGCGTACAATATTCAATGTTTGTTGCAACACTCGTTGTTAGCGTTTTAGTTAATAAGCGTCTTTTTTTTCTTACAATATCACGAGAAAGAAATTTTGCTTAATATTTACATTAAATTTTTCAATTTTACATAGTCCAATTATGAATTATTATAATTATTATTAAATTAAAATTGAAGGATTTAATACGACTATCAAGCAAATAAAAGTTTTTTCCTCTCGTAACATTGTAGAAAAGGACAAACGCATTGTATCGTATGTGATATATATATATACACGTTTAGTTTATTCGTTGTATAAGCATGATTATTGCAGTTAATATATATTATATATAGATTAGCTTCTCACATCAAAATACAACACACTTTTCTAATTTTTACCTTTTGAAATATTAATGAGCGATTCTCTTAATTTCTTAATTAATTCTCATAAAATTTAATTTGTGAAGAAATATCTCATCTCGCCTTTTCATTTCTTAAAATCAATTTTCGTAAATTTTTTATCTTATCCTTGATAGTATATCGCGATGCGTCTTTAATAATATTCCTATCATTATGTTTATTTCGAATACAATTGTATCATATCGAATATTTTACATTTCAGTATATTTGCTTAATGAATAAAAAAAAGAAAGAAAAAAACGTATATTTTCCCTGCATGATTATTTATCCCGATTTGATAATTACAAACGCACTTTATCACAAGTTTTTGATATTCTCAGCATGTCATACATTCATTTGTCACACTGTATTTGGGCTCGCACATATCGTTTTCATTTCCAATGTTGAGAAATAATTATAATTAATGATTCTTGAAATATTAAACGATTCGGCGATTTTTGAGAAACGGAGACTTCTTTTTCAATAGAGATAGAGTAATTTTCTAAGCTAAGTCATTGAGAAAAATGTAGCTATTTTCATAAGGTATTTTACTTCGATTCTCGTAAAGATGCTGCACAAGCAGAAAAGACGATCAGGCTGTCGAAACAATTTTTCAATCTGCGATAAAAATGAAGAAATAATAAAAATTTTTTAATATTAACAAAAGTAACAAAATAATTTGCATGGATATTTGTTGTCAAGTTAAAATTTCAATAAAAATCGCAAAATATTTTGCTCTGTTATAAAATTTTTCTGTGTTAATCTGATACATTTGGTCATAATATTGTGTATAACTTACAAAAAGTGAAAAATTAATTTAATAAATCAATTTAATTGACAAATCTTGCGGCATGGTATTACTGATTCCAGACATTTGATGAATAAAGTAGCTACCTATACCTATACTTTGGTACGTTATTCACAAACTGTTTGCAAAGCAAAATAAAGAATAAAATATTTATAGGGATTTTCAAATTTTATTTGCAAGTGAATATTTTATATAGTTTTTTTTTAATTTTATTTTAATAATTTGTTTTAAACGTATACGTTCTAATGTCTTAAAATAATGCAGCATCTCCATTGCAACCAAAATTCTTGTTATAATTAATTAATTATTAATAATTGGCATAATTTCTTATAATCGAAGAGTTTTTGTCAATTCAACAATTTGTGTTTTTTGAATAAGTATAGAGCAATAACTGTCCTTGCGAGTTTAATTTGAGACAAGATTGATAAGAAATTGTAAGAAAAAGTGCAAAAGAGAAAATGCGAGCGAGAGAGAGAGAGAGAGTGAACGAGCGAGCGAGCGAGCGAGCGAGAGAAGTAGAATAAACAGAAATGAGTTTTATTAATTGATAATTGTAATACAATTATTGTATTAAGTAATTGCGATGTTACGAACACTTGGATACAACTATGAAAAAGATGAATCAATAAGAAAAAGTGGATAATTAAGTGGATAATTTTCAGAAAAAATTATGGAAATTATAATATAGTGATGATAATAATAATTAAATAAAAAAAAAGAAAATAGGAGACGATCTATTTTAGAGAAACGTACATCTATTCAGTTTCTTATATAAATAGTTTTTCAGTTTTTATGAAAATTCTATGGTGCGGGGTGGACACTCTTGTAAACACAAATTACAATAGCGACAATTAAGTTTCTAATTGATAATGAATTTCAAAAAAAGATGTTATTAGAGAGTGTCGAAATATAAAAAAACCATGTCAAATGCATTGTCAAATTTGCAAGGAATAAGAGTGGTTTTTGGTTTTAATTTTTAATAGCTTATATGTCAAAATAAGGTAGATAATCTTCATTATTTAACTTATTATTTAACCCATTAACGGCTTATTTTTCAAAGAAATTATTTTGAATAATACAATGTTAGTGAAAAAAAAGTTTGAATTAAAAAATTTTGTTATAAATTAAAGGAAATTTTAATAAAACAGTAATTTTTCTCTAAATTATTTAATATTTAAATATTAAATTATATTAACAATATTTTAAACAATGAATAATAGTATTTCAATGAATAATAGTATTTCTTTAATAATTCTAAGATTAATTTCCAAGATCTGTAAAAAATGGCGACATACTTTAATAATTCTTTAATTAATTAAAATTTTTTTATGTATTGTTCACATGTCAGAAAAGTTTTAAAAAATTTTTCAAAATTTAGAAATTATAAAAAAATATGTGCGATATTTTTTTAATTTAGGAAAACTGTAAAAAATTTATAAGAGAGAGAGAGAGAGAGAGAGAGAGAGAGAGAGAGAGAAAGGAGAGAAAGATAACAAGAGGCAACATGGGAAGAAACAAGGATGTGAAAGAGAGAGAAGAAGATGAAACAAAGCATCACACAAATACACTTTCATACATACTTGCATAAAATGCGTGACAGAGACATTCACACATTTTTAAATAGAATATGCTATGAACATAAACACACGAGATACGTCTGTTGCAGGACGAGGTAATCCTAATCCTAGGAAAAGCTTGTTATTTCTTAGAAAAAAAGAAAAAGAAAAGAAACAACTCTCGTCTTGATGCAGTCGTATCGATATAACGTAGAAAAACATACTTTTTTTTTTTTTTTGCAAAAATATTATATTACTTATAAATACATCATTATATATAAATATATACATAGAAAGAGTGAGAGAGTGAAAGAGAGAGAAAGAGAGAGAGAGAGAGAGAGAGAAAGAGAGCGAAAGAGAGCGAAAGAGAAAGAAAGAGAGAAAGCGTGAAGCTACTCTACTTGGAAAAAAACTACGGAGAGAGTTATTCTCATTTATATAGTTTTAATTGCGAAAAGATAATTGTGAATTCGAAGCGCAGAAAAGGATTATTCGAGATATCTCTTTCTTGAAAGAAAAAAAATAAAAAAAGTAAAACGATCCTTGGCATACTGTGGAATTATAAATAAGCGAGAGAAAAAGAAAGAGAAAATGATAGGTCGCTTTTAATTAATAATCAGTTTTTAATTAACGAGTTCTCCACATGCGGATAAGCTTGTATAGATATAGAACAATCGATATTCTGTCATATTCCTTTCTTCTTTTTTTTTTTATTTTGTTTCTTGTTTCTCGATGAAAAAAAAATTAACGGCACCAAAACTATGAGTCTTCGTTCATTGCGATTATAAACAAACAAAAAAAGAAAGAGAAGCGAACCACAACACAAAAAGAAGAGCCACTTGACACACTTGATAACGATAGAATAAATAATTGAGAGAAGGTGATGTCGAGATAAAACGAGCAACATTATTATTATAATTAATAATAATTATAATAAATACAATATTTGTACAATAATATCGACGGAATTTTGTTTACTGTGTGCTGCACTAAATATGCTGCACATTCTCAAATATATTATTCATCCCAGTTCACCTCCATCCTGGCCAGTATACGTACGGAACAAAGTGTACAAGTTTATTGTTACTAGAATTAGCGATTGAAAGCGCTTAACGTGACTTTTTATTAATTCTAAGAAGATAATCCGCTGATATTGAATTTTATAAATTATAATTTTATAAACTAAATTAGACTGGATTTGCACAGTGGATATGAGGCAACTGGAAAAAAATAATTCTTCCATTAGATAGAAATGAAATAGCAATAAAGATCTGAGAGACACATTGCAGATAATATTTACTAAAAATTGAATAATATTAGAAATGTTAAATATCATATCGAGTGCATAACATTATTTAAATTTCACACTTTCGGGGCGTGATTATCGATCAAATGAAAGAATCTTTCCGAGGATTTTTGCAACCTTTTTTAAAAATTGGAATCGATATAATTATAATTTTCAGTGTCACAGACACAGGAAAATTAACTTCTATGTTCATTCGCGACAATTTTTTGGTTCAAGCTCCTTTTTCGCGCACCTATAATTAAATTAATAAATTACACCGATATCGAAATTTTCTGCTTTAATTATACTGGTGAATTAATTACACCGGAGTTTAGTAAATTTTATGTATACTGAAAGCTTGCGCTTTGTTTCTGTGTTTCACTTTTCTGGCGAGTTTCTTCGTAATCGAATCACAGGTATTCGACAGTATCTCGGTAACTGACGCACTGCTGCACTGCCGTCATCGATCATCATCATCGTGGACTGTGTTGATGCAGGAGGACTATGTCACGTCAGAGAACCACCATGGACTCTCATATGCCTATTGAGATTACCGCTCTGACTAAATCTAAGCAGACATAGCTTACATTGATACGGTTTCTCACCGGAGTGAATTCGTAGGTGCTTGGTGAGTGTCGAGCTGTCGGAGAACGCCTTCTTGCAGAATCGACATCTGGAAAAATAGAGAAGGTAATTGATAAATAAATTTAAATAATTAAAACATATAATAAAATAAAAAATATAACAATAATTAATAAAGCCTAGCAATGGCTTTTAGATGACGCGATGACGCAGAGATATTACTTTAAAAAGTATAATTAATAAGAGAAAATAAATGGATAGAAGAACATTAATAATTTCCTTTCTTTCTAATAATTCCTATCTGTACATACTGTTTCTCCATATGTGAGAACAATGTACTAAAATTTTCGTACACTTTAAGTATCTCGAACCAGAGATCGGTGTACAAATTTAACTGTCTCACGTAGACTAACAAATTAATTTCTTTAAGAAAAATTATAATTTCGCACTAACATCCCGCGACGGCTCTCTATGCCTTTCTATTATATTAATTGATTATTATCATTTGAGCCTTTCCTTTATATGTGTTAGATTAATAATTTCATTAAATTATATTATAAACTAATTTTAGGATCTATTATATTATACTTTCGTTAAGTAAATTATTTGCATATAAAGTTATTTTAAAGATTAATATCTATGCGTATTAATTGTCAATTTCATATGTATTGCGACGTAAACATTAGGACCATTTATCATATTGATCGATATTTAAGAACATGAACAACTTATGTTTAAACAACTTTTTCCGAGTCGCCGAAGTTTGGCATTTCTTTTTTAATCAGTTCTAAAGAGAGATTCCGGTTTCATACCTGTAAGGCCGCTCGCCCGAGTGTGTTCTCATATGTGTGGTCACCGAGCTACTCTGCGAAAACCTTCTGTCACACACCGGACATCGGAACGGTTTTTCGCCGGAGTGTGTCCTCGCGTGAGCGGTCAAGTTCGCCGCTTGGCTAAACGCCTTCGAGCACGCGTGACACCTTCAAAGAATATTAAAGTAGCTTTGTTTGATAAAAGTTTATTTAATATTAATTAACAAACAATATTATATTCTTTGCGTATTCTTTTCGAAAGACTAGTCGTGAAACGTTCTTATTATTTTTCTAAAACCATTCATATATCTAATATTTAAATCAATCAATTGAATCAAACTGAATAATCTCAAGATAGAAAAATGGAAAAAAAATCGTTTTGCATCACTATATTTTTATTATTATTATTAGAATAGCTTCTTTTCTAGAAAAGAGAATAGAATAAAATAATGTAGAATAAAATTGAACTAGTAAACTAATGGAGATGCAATTCTTTTCAAAATCGGGCAAATTCCGCAATATTTCAATGGACGACAAGTACCGACCTAAACGGTTTTTCTCCGGAATGAGTGCGTAGATGAGTTTTGAGGGTGCTAGGCCTAGCGTACGATTTGCCGCATATCCTGCACAAATTGGGTCTGCCATTATCTTCGGCGGTAACACTACCCCCAACTCCAGGACCGGCGCTACCCACGCAGATCGCGTGCTCACCCCCGAGCTGCAGTCGACCACCACCGCCGTGATGTGGCTGGGGGTGAGAATGGGGATGGCCGATCAGACCGCTATTGGTCGGCGCACCCTGATTCACCCTCGTGGTCGTTTGCGCCGCCGCATCCACTGGATTGCCGTACTGCGGGGCGGGACTTAAAAGAGGTTCCACACCCCACGTCGACGAATAGCTCTGCTCGTATCTAGAAACACACAAAGGCCCGTATATAGATATAGAATGGCAAAGGTAGGATCAAATAGCTACACTCTGCAGGAAAGGTATGGAGGACAAGATGGCGACGGTTATAGGGGATGAAAAAAGTTCTTACAAAAGTGATGAGGACTGAGGAGATAATTTCGAAAATGGTGGGGTGAGAATTAAGGCGGTCAGATTTTCCTAGTTAATTTTTATATATTTTGAGCGCGAAGGAGAAGACAGCGCTTTTAGATTTGATAATATGGCAAAATTAGTAAATAATAAATAGGGTAAAATTAGCGAGGATAAATATATTGGACAATATACTTTTTTAATATAAAAAAATGTGGGAAAGAAAAAGGAGAAAAAGAGAGAAGACGGAGAATTTTTACCCCGAATGCATGTTCATGTTCATAGTCATGTTCATCGAGACATTGACGGACATGGCAGCGGATGCAGAACCGTAGTGGCCTGGGCCTGGAACCGACGGGCCTAAATTCTGCACATAGTCTTGCGAGTAATGATGAGCCGCGGCAGAACCTGCGCTGGTGGGGTAATAGCCGGCTGTAGGACTTCCGGGATGCACTACCGCATGTTTCAAAGATAAAAGAACGTCGGCGACACCCTCGCCATTCGCGCCATTGCTCGCTCTGGGCACACATTCACCGCGCGAGCAACCCCAGCTGGAAGAAATCATCAGAGTTTTACGGATTCTATCGAATTTATGGAATAGAATAAGTAATAAAAGAATTGTGGAAGATAAAGGGAAGTATTATGCTCAAGATTGTGTTATAAACGTTTTACAAAAATTCTTTATGGATCAATGAAATAGAAATTTAATTCAAGACTACATATTATACAAGTATTATATAAGTATTGAAAAATTAAAAGAAAAGAATTAAAAGAAAAATAGAAGAAAAGAAAGAGAGAAAATGACGAGAAAGAAAGAAAACGAAGAGAAGAAAACCAACTCACTTGTATGTTCCTGAACATGGACTGAACAATCCGGGGGGTAAAGGATCTAGATCTAATGGGGGTAGGGGAAAACCCGCCATGTCGTCAACCCAAAAGCTGGCTCCGAAC